GTTATAGGGTCTGATTCTGCATGGCCGCGCTTATGGGTACCCTCCTTCCCGTTTTATCCACTGTCACAGCTAAGTCCACATTTAGGAGCTTTAGTGTGCCGTAACGTCCCTCCTCTTTTATAGTTTTCGAGAAATGATTGCACGGCTGAATACTTTCCAATTCTTTGCTTCAGGGCTCCCTACTTGGTTCGCAGCACAACATACCTGCAAACCCTGTAGCAATGATTAAGACTCCTATGTTATACTACTATCATGGAATTCCGTCCACCCAAAACCAAGAATCAGGATGGTCTTCGGGAGCCATGTTGCATATCTGTGGTACAAACGGACCCTCTGTCGGTCAGATAAGGGGAAAACGACTAGCGATACAATACATCAGAGCCCTGTATTGCCTGTATTAGTGCACTGGGCCCAGACAATCAGACCTAAACCCTGGATGGACGATTTAATCTTCAACTGCACATATTTTACACCTCAAACCCCAGACGCACCATGAAAGGGCTCAGTCGACAACAAGTATAAGCTTTAACACTATGCAACACAAGTATTGGGCCCTGAGCCCTAAACCCCAACTGCAAGGCAGACAGCAAGTCTGGACGCACCGGCTGACTTTAGATACGGAGCAGTTGCTTAGGCCTGGAATGCTGAGCTCTGGTTTGAGTCCAAGAGTAAAAGGAGGGACCCTTAATAAGGACCCCTAGGTAATATACCCTTACTATAGCCATTATATTCCCATTGTATAGCCCATTATAGGGTAGGGGTCCCATTAAGGGTCCCTCCTTTTCCCCTTTGATTGAGGTTCTTAGCTGTGAGTTATGTTTAAGGGTTAAGCTCTGAAGGCCGGGAGAATGGTATTCTATTGTTTAGGGTCTAGGGTTCAGGGTTGAGGGCCATTCATGTTCTGAAAGTCGCAGTTTCCTCTGGAATGCTTCATAGCCGTAGATACTGGTTTAGTCCCTTGAACTTCTGGTGTCCATAGAAACTTTGAAGGTTTGGCGTTGAAATAAGGTTTAGGGTTTAGGGCGAAATCTACCGTTCGAGATTTGGATTCAGAGTCGTTTTGTGGTTCTGCTCTAAGGGTTCCTTCCCGGGCTTGCTTAATGGATCTATAGGGTTTAGGGCTTGCTTGAGAACCGGACTTAGGTGGGTCTGAACACTTATTCGTATCATATCCCCTTGTAGTCCGTGGGCAACTTGTGTAACATGGGTGTTTCCGACAATAGGGGATCCTAATATAGTACTCTAAACAGTAGGATCCTTGTTATAAGGACCCCACAATACAGTACCCTTAATTTTCGGAAACTCCCATATGCCAGAAACTGAGTCCAGTCATTCGGGCCCAGGCAGTCGTGTTCATATGAAAGGCTCCCGGGCTCCGGAGGCATAATCAGCGCGCTAGGTATGTATATACATATATGTTAATTAGACTTATACATATACATATACTCACATATACATAAACATACCTATACGTATAGGCAACACGGTTGGCTTATGTTGTAGCATGAGTTTTGGATGTCTTCAACCATACTACGCGAACCAAGCATCCCTCTGTAGTTAATGCTCCTCCGTTGTTGTTTGTCGTACTTGGGATCCCACCCTTAGGTCCCAGTGCAAGCCATAGAGGCCTGTCTTTTTTAGCAAAAGGAGTTTACAGTTTATGGTTTCGTCGTTCAAAACTTGAGGGTTTAGGGTTTAAGAATCTGCGGGTTTGCTCTTGAGACGACAGGAAGACTTCCTGAGACTCCGACACCCATGTGATTAAGGAGTAGGGTTCCTGTTAGAAGTCGAAGGATATTGGAGTCTTTGGGCTAAAGATCGAAAATCACAGTCTCGTGCGCAAGTAGGGTATAGTATAATATGGTATAGTATAGTATACTACAGTGTATAATCATCTAGTAATTACAGCATAGTGTAGAATAGTGTGATATAGTACGGTATAGTAGATGTGCCCTAAACCCCGAATCCTTGACCTCAAACCCTAAGCCAACTGTCTTACGGCTAGCCTACAGTAGAAGCCCAAGAGTTGGAAACCCAACAGCCTCAATCCTTAAGAGTAATGTATAAGGGAATCTTAGGACTATTTGACCTTTATCAGGTTTCCAACTTTATGGAGTTTACTCACTCTCAACGTCCTCTCTCCCGCAGCATTTGATGTGGGTTTGGAGCAGCGCCCTTCCGTTCCGTTAAACGCGCCCTCTTCGCCATGACATTCGTGGGCTCCCTCGCGACTTGCCGGTTTCAGAACTGTCTAGGGTGCTCAGAGATCCCAATACCTATTAATTTAGGATTGTACCTTAATTTTTTGAGGGGCTTCAGATTATGATTTAAGGATCCCTTATAGATCCCTTAAAGGAACCCCTAGGGATCCCTTAAAGGAAGCCTAGGGAGTCTCTGGTATATTCCTTACTTACGGGGTGTTGGGTTCTCTGGGTGCCGGTTTTAGAACGTGGGGTGCTTCTGAATATCAGGGGTCCATTGCTTACGGGTTCTTGAAATGAGGATCCTACTCTACAAGTATAAGGGCCTGAATATTACATAGGGTTGTGGGTGGTGTTTTGTCGTAAAATCATAGAATGGCTCTAGCGGAATTTTTGATTTATATAAGAGCCTAAACAATTACCAATGTTTATTGATGGTTCCTTGCTACAACTATAGTATATTGACTCCAAAACCCTTTTCTAATTGTTCAGGCCCCTTTGTTGTAGTACCTTTTATAGTAACAATTATTGTAGACCTTATAGGCATGCATGCATGCAGCATGCATATATATACGACTATACACATACATACACATACGTTCATACATGTTTGCATACTCAGTTACATACTTACTGAAACACTTACTTACTTACTTAATTAATTAATTAATTAATTAATTAATTAATTACTTACCACTGCATTGCATTACTTTGCACTACATTCATACATTCATGCATACATGCAAGCATACATACATAATGTAGTATGATAGAAAATAACTGTACGTATACATATATATATATATATATATATGTGTGTGTGTATGTGTGTATATATATATATATATATATATATATATATATATATATATATATGTAATATTCACATACATATGTACATGTATACATGTCCTGGTTAAGCCCTACACCCTGGCCCAGGTGGTTAAGAACACCTTCTACAACTTCGAGATTGAGGTGCTGATGTCTTAAGTTTCTGGGAATTGCGTCGTCTAGCAAGAGTTTAGCAGGGTGTAGAGGCTTGCGAGGCGGAGTAGCGAACATTTCGTGAAACTTGTACGATGTGAATGGTTTGGGGCTCGTTGACGGCTACACCCTAAAACTTTGTTACTGCCCCACCCTGTAGCCGTTGGATAATGATTGAACTATGATGATATAGCCCTTAGTGTGACCCCTGATACAGGTGGGGGCAGCACCCAACCTAAACAATCCTGGCTAAACCCTGGACGCCCAAGCCCCACACTGCCACCTAAACCCGAGACCCTAAACCGTGGATCAAGGTACAACTGACTACAACGGCTCCTCACTCCGCAAGGGTACCTTCAAGGATTCTGGCCAAACCGTTCCAGCCCTAAACGCATGATCCCAATCTGCAGGCCCTCTATCGTGAAACCCTGAAGCTTTACAATCGTTGGGGGCGCGCCGACAACAGAACGGGATACTTTCAAAAGTAGGACCGTTGTTGTAAGGGCACTTTGATAAGGGACCCCTCGTATTCAACAACGCTCTACATGTGAGAGATTCAAGCACCGAACGTCCTTTGGAGGAATTTCCCTCGCCCACGCTTCGACGCCAGGAGGGTGTCCACCGATGAGGGGTTTGGCATTTAGGGTTTCGTGGTATTGGGTTTAAGGGTTTAGGGTTTGGCGTTTTAGAGTCTGTGGTTTTAAGCTTAGTTTGTGCACGGCTTGTTGTTTAAACTACGTCTGATAGTCATTCTTCGAAAGGGCCGTGTCCGCAGGGTCGTTATAAGATTCGGGATGGATCGAGTAACATGTACGCTATGTCGATTATTCATTCAAACCTTCAGTTGTAGGCCCCGTTGGTTTGAATTCTAATAAATGCCTGGAAGAAAGAGCGTCGTGAATCAGGGGTCGTATTGGGGTTGAGAGGTTGAGAGTTTTTTGCAGTGGGCTCCAAAGAGCTTGTAATGTGTTTCTTGAGTAGGGGATATTGATCGGTGATGTTGCTGCTGGTACGCCTTTCCCACAGATGATTCATACTGGTTTCGTAGACCTTGTGTAGGTCGTCAGTGTCTCAGACGGTAGGAACCCTCAAGAAGGAAAGAAAACCAACGAAATGAAGCCCCAGAACAGACCCACCGAAAGGAGTCGTCGCCAGCAAAGCTGGCGAGCGAAGCTATCGTGGGCTTCCCGACGGACATCACAAGGCCAGGATTTGTTTGTGTCTTAAGCTGCCTATTGTTAAGATGTTTTGATGCAACATTTCTTTACCACCCATGTACCCTAAACCCTAGAACCCCTAAACCCCTAAACCTTCGTGGTCGTGGTAACAGTATGAGGCTCTTATGTGTCAAGGACGTATCAGGAACGAGGTGACTGTTCCTGAACAGCGTGTGCGGCCGCGGTGTGCAGCGGCTTCGCAGCTCCGATGAGCTCCTGTTGTGCTACTGTTGATGATATATATATATATATATATCCTGCATTACCTTAAGGGCCCTAAACTATGGGAATTATGGCATATTCTTCATTATGGGTCATGCAGGATTGATATCATCAACCGTAACATCGTGTTCTCGCCACGTTGACAAGACGGCCACATCCACCCCGGCCACAGAATTACGCAGAGAGCCCGATACCCCTCAATTAAGAAATATGCTTTAAGCTATATTCCTTAATTAATTAAGGGGTGTTGGGCTCTCTTGGTTCATGCAGCTTCAGGGCGACGCCCTGAACCCCTATACCCTAAACCTCAAATCCCAAACCCTTAAACCCCTAAACCCTAAGCCCTAAACCCTAGTACTCCAGAGCCTAAAATCCCTACATCCTTCTATGATGCCCCTATATACTGACAATTATGGACCATAAGGGCTCTATTAAAGGGTACTCGGGGGGGCTGGTGAAGACTACAACAGTGGAGACGTTTCTCTACTACAATCGCCAAAAGCGATCAGTCGTCAACAGGACCCTTGATGAGATAGCGGTTGAACTCGGTGTGTCTCCAACATATGCTGCAAGCGTGGCTGCGATGCTAGACGGCCAGAACGGGCCGGCCTCGATGATATCGGCCTCGCCGACCCTCGCCATCGGGAAATGCACCGCTTGCATCAACGACCGGTGCTGGAAATGCTGTGGAAACGCCGGAGAACAACGCCGGTACTCCGAACCCAAAGGGTGGAAACAAGAAGCAGAACGAGCAGGGGGGGCAGCAGCCGCCTCCCAAGAAAGCGAGACCTCCGAAGCCGGAGGTGCATTGTGCATGATGAATCACAGTCACGGATTAGGTAGTGCATTGTGTTAGTGCGTGCATGTGTTTCATATAGTTTGATGGTGTGTGCGAGGGATCGGAGTTGGAAGGCCACGTGTGGACGGAAGACGTGGGCGCCTTCGCTTGCAACTGGGCAGGGTCGAGACTACCTAAACACCCTCAAGCCTAAGCCCTAAATAACCACTAT